TGCCGTTTTGCGTGGATGTGATGTTGATTGTCCACGTAATTTAGCCAAGTCTGTAACCGTTGAATAATTTGGAGAGAGACGGAATGGACTCGTTGAGTTTTTTTAATGATTGTAACCAAATAATAGCCACACACCTTGCATTTCCAATATTTATTATTATTTTTTTTTAAATTATGATTTGATTTTATTCGTATTGAACATGTTTGCCCCTGGTCTTATAGCGTTTTATTGTGGGCATAATTATATTTGTTTGTTTGCTTTAAGTATATAATTGAATGAGAAATAGTTTTGTGCAATTTAAAAATGTAGTTTTGAACTATATATGCGTGTATGTATACAATTTCTTAAACGTATTTTATATATATGGACATACAAAAATATATACATTAGGTTTTAAATACGATATACTAGAACTGATCTGCTCATCTGAAGGTTTCTTATTGAGAAAAACCTTCTATCCTCTTCTGATCTCTTCAAAAATTTAAAAACAATGTTCAAGAGAAGTCTTTCCATGATGAACTATCAAATAATACTAACAGAAAAAAGTAAATTAATCGGTTACGTTCGTCAGAGTCGAACTTCTCATATACTTCACTATGTTGTGTCAATTCCAAATTTCTTAAATCGGTCCGAATCTTTGTATGGGGACTATGTGTGCTAAAAAAAATAAATATCGTATTAAAGACATTCGGGTTAGAAATCATAGCAAGGGACTTCAAAATATCGAAAATTATGCGGTATCATTTTATGGACCTATCTACATTGAAAATTTCCTATGAAGAAGTATAAAATGCCAGCCACTTCTTTAAAAAATCAGACAAAAACCATGCAAATAACGAAAATGGGTCGGGAAATTTGGACAGAATGATAAATTACAGTGGAAAATTACGGATTTTCAATAAAGTTAACAAAATATATTTTCTAAAGCTGAACATTGCTCTCAAGAGTTAACCATGGTTGTTACATGTAATATTTATAAGTTTTAGAGGAAGGGAACTTCAAAATATTTATATTAGGTTCGTTCGTTTACTCAATAATTTGTACGAATTTGTACAAATTATTACAAAATGTTGTTCGTTTACCCAAAAGTCCAGTAAAAGAGAGTGAATTGAGAGAGCAGATTTGACAGTTGTGTTACTGAGTATTTGCAAATTCTTACAAGGAAAATTTACTCAGTAAGAATTTTCTTGTACCATCAGCTGATATTTAATCAGCTGTTTTGTTATGTTTTGTAAACAAACAAAAAATTGTTCTGAAGAAAATTGATTGTTTTGTGAATAAATAGTTAAAACTTACCGGTCACAACCCTTTTAAATGAAAAAATGGAAACATATGACTGCATGAGACTACCTTGTATAATTATGTCATAGCTATCGCCATATATATATGTTCTACCTTGTATAATTATGCCTTAGCTATCGACATATATAACATTGGGTGTGTCTGGTTACTTTTCAGTAACATTTATTAAGTAAGTTCTAGCTCAGAGAGTAAGCCCTTTTTACTCTCTTTTGCGATAATACTGAGAAAAGTAAACAGACAACATTTAGTACGATTTAGCAAATAAACAGCTGATTCAAGAAAACATTTGATTTGCGCCAAAATAAACAAACAAACAAACAGAGGACAAACACAATTATTTGTATTGCATTTAATATTAAAAATAAAATGCACAATAAAATAAAAATTGATTTGGTATGTTCCCCGGGAACATTTAAGCTTCCTGCACCAATACATTGCCCTCTATCTGGAACTAAAAATATATAATGAATTAGTTTCTAATTTAATGAAACTTTGCATCACTTACGAATTTTATTCCATTTTCTTTAATTTTTATACAACTTAACTTCAAATTGAACTTTGCAAATTAAAAAAAATGTTTTGAATAATTTTTGTGTTTGGTCATAAAACAGCTGATCCAAAAATGGATGGACGCTTCTATTCATAATTGTATATACCCATACATGCTTTGTACAGACATACTTATTTTTTAATCAGGACTTTCGGTCAGTAAAATGCAATGTAATAAATATCTAATTTTTTTGATCCACATCATTCTTAAGCTATAATTACAGATCTGCAACCTATATTTATAGATTATAGAGGCATAGAACTTCAAAATATTAAACATTTTGTAATTATTGCCACTGGACACGTGTTGTGCGTACATTTCGAAGGAGGATATTTACATTTAAATTTTGAAAGCTGAGTGTTGTCAAAAGTAAATTTATGAAAAATTGGAACCATATGTCTGCATGAAACTACCTTGAGTAATTATGTCATGTTTTACAAATGTATTAACAAATAAAATTTATTTAATTATTCGATCTGTGCTGGATAAATATTACCAGAAGAAATTTACCCGGTAATATTCAGTAGAATTGTATTTATCTCTATACAACGGTATTATAATAGCTCCGTTCCAGAACAAGTAAGAATCTACGACGTTTAGTCCCAATATGTTAATCATATTCCCAAATCGATTTTGAAGAGAAAGCTTGACATTCCATAAATTTCAGGAACCCTCAAGAATATGAACATTTTTACTACAATTACAAATAAATACAAAAAAAATAGTAAACATTTTTAGATTTTGCAGATCTCAAATAGTCATAAAAATATTAGTTTGGGGAAAAAGAAATTCATTATTATTATTATTCTTATTTGTAAATAGTTTAAAACAATTATAGATGATTTTTAGCTCCTAGGCGATGTTACGACTGCTTACATGTCAGTCAACTTCGGCCTACCTGTACGAGGTGTATCTTTAACATCAAAAATTCCTGAACGGAAACTACGAAACCAAAATTGCACATAATTGGCCGTTACAGTATCGGAACCATAAACACCATTCACAATGTTAGCCGCTTGGCGTGCATTTTAGCCTTTGTCACAGAAAAATCTGTAAAATGAACCAAATTTTATCTTTGTTCACTTCCATTTTTAACACCATGTAACTCACAATTGAATGCACCAAACAAAAAAACAGCTAAGAAATTATTTTTACTGTGAAATGTCACCCTTCCAACGAGCATAAATCTGAAATTGTTTCATCGACATTTTATGAGAAATCTATCAATACATCCATCTGCCGAAAAAATAATGAATTTCTTTTTCCCCAGACTAGTATAATTTGCTTTACAATTTGCCTCGTATTCTGCACCATCTAAACACAGAATAAGTTATGCCATGTACAGACGAGCGTTGTTCGCTCTCTCATTCGTTGTTCGACCCTTAATTATGAAGGAATTACTTAGTTCCCCATACAAAATTGTCTGAGCGAACACCGACTTTTGTACGTTGTTCAATTCGAATCACTCTCTGAATAACCAATAAATTTGTCCCATCCCTAACAATTGAGAGTATTTATCGAAAATAAATTAATTTTGACAGTTTGAAAATATTTATGAAATTTTCAAACTTTTTCAGTAAAATTGAAAATCATGAATGAAAAGTAAAAAATGTTATAGTTTTTATATATGCAGCAGGATGTAAATTTTGTTTTCTACATAATGCAATATGCATTTCTTTTCCCTTGGTTCTAATTAGCGTACAAAACAAGAAACAAATGTGGGGCAACTCAAACAAAAAAATCTCCAAATTTTTATTTGTGACAGTATGTGACATTTGAATTGAGAAAATATAAAAATGTATTAAAAACAACAACATTTTCAGAAAAAATGGAAAACATGAATGAAAAGTAAATAGATATGGGTTCATACTATAGTCAGGAGAAAGAGAATTATTTTTTCTATTTAGATCCCTATGTAATTCACTAAAATATGTTAAATTTTTGGTGTAAAACAAGAAACAAAAAGTTTGAAATAAAAAACTCTGATGATATGAATTATGAATAGTGTTGTATGAACGGGTTAATTCATGTACGTAATTCTGAGAGCGAACTACGTTGTTCGGATGCCCGTCAGAACATGGCATTAAACCGAATAATTATATTTGTGTGTCAAATTGTCATGGTTACCAGTCGGCAAATTCAGATCTGGCAACACGACGTTAATTGACATTTATAGACGAAGGGAAAAAAATCAGGTCGTGAAGAAAATTTTGCTGGTGAAAAATATACAATTATTCGCGAAAAATAAGTGCTCATAATTCAACAAAAAATTATTACAAAATACAGCAAAACGTCTGTGAAAATAAATACTTGAAAAATTGTCAATAATTTGCCAACCATATTTGCACCATGACGGTGACAAATGGAGAGGGCAATAACGCTGGTGGTGATGGCGGTGGTGGTATTGTGAGACCGCGTTGTTTCTTCGATATTGCACTGGATCGATTGAATATAGGTCGTATTGTATTTGAATTGTATTCGGATGTGGCACCAAAAACCGCGGAAAATTTTCGTGCCTTGTGTACCGGTGAAAAGGGTATCGGCATTGTAACGGAAAAACCCTTGCATTACAAGAATGTCATCTTTCATCGTGTGGTCAAAGATTTTATGATACAATCGGGTGATTTCTCAGCCGGCAATGGTACGGGCGGAGAATCAATATATGGTGGAACATTTGAGGGTAAGTATTTTTGTTGCAATTGTCTTTTGATAGTTGTTAGCAAGGGTTATGGGGGGTTTTGACTTTTTTCGAGTTATATAAAAAATGATGTGGGTGAGTACCTATTACTACTATTTAGTAATACCATACAAATCATTAAAAATAAAGAAATATTACAAATATGTGTGTTGTTATTATAATTTGTAAATGTAATGCGCAAATAGTAGATACATTAATTGGTGTATACGTTGCCATGGCACTTTGTGCATTTTATTGATGCATGCTCACATATGCAAGACTGCTATCCTTCAAAGGGTTGACACCATCCCACAAACGTCACGGCTTTAATCGCATTCGCTGTAGGTACATATTTGATACACAAAACAAATTAATTGAAGGAGGGTATTGTATTCCACACGAGTGGGTATGCCATGATTTGTATACGAGTGAGGGAGGTTTCAGTAAAATATATCCGAAATTATCTAGACTATTATATCTACATCCGAAAATTCCAATAATGGTGTTGCATTGATCTTAAAATGGACTGGAAGGAAAAGTAATGGTAATGGTAACTGATCCTCTCTTCTCATCGAGGAGGTACACAACCACAGTTTACGGTTTGTGAAGTTGTAGCGTTAAATCATTTAAAGTTTTAAGGCCTTTCGAAATCTATGCATATTCTGAATCATCCGGAGATGAGTATTTGTCTAAAGTTCCACATCGTTCCTTAAGCTTGTGCAGGCTTGTCTCACCATTGAAGCCAGCGAAGAATGCCAGGGCAAAGACCTACTTTGACTTCTTCAGCGAGACTATCCCCAGTAGTTGTTGTTGTAGCAACACAATATATAGCATTGGTTACGAATTGTCTGGTTCTGATTCCTTTTCTCAAAATTCGAAATTGTAGCAACCTGAATGGGCTGTGTCCATAAGGTATTTGATGATAGGTGAGTCGGCTTAGCTGAACAGTTGGAACGGTGCAACATGTCGTGTGATCATAGTCCACATGCAGAATACGTGTTATGTATCGAGCCGACAATTGATTGACAGAGGGTGGTTGTGCCTTATCAGCCTACTTGGATCCCTTTTTACGGGCTCTCCTTCGGGCTGGCTTCGACAATCCCCTACATTCCGTCTTTGTGGATTTGAGAGGTAGTGATCCAAACCTTTCAGATGGTTATTTAGAGGCGCCATTCTCTCCTCGTCAGCTCAGGGATCATAGGCACTCGGTCATTTCCTTCGATACTCACCCCCTGAGCCGAGCTGAGACTATTAGTGCTTATCGGGACAGCTCCTGGGTGAGGGAGTTCTGTCCATAAGGCTATCACAGGGGTTTTCCACTGCGTCCCTCATGCAGATGGTACACTGGAGTCATGAAGTGAAAGCATTCTGACAGGTTTGAATATTCTTTCACTGCGTATCACTTTCATTCGCAAACCACATCACCGACCAGCCTATTAATTTATAAAAGGTTAGCGCCTTGTTTTGATTAGGTCCTCTAGAACGTCTTTTAAACTCATTTAAGCATGGAGATGCAGACATTTAAGATGTTTGATATAGAATATGGGATACATCGGTCCTTGTTTTGTCATTCCAATTTCATAGGAGGTAAAACCATTTTTGTAGGAAATGTTCTATATTTTGAAATAACTACCATATACGGTACCTTCCCCAAGAGCTTAATTAAGTCTTTCGTTTTGGTGAAGGATAAAACAAATATTACGTAGAATTTTTAAAGCACCAGTAAAATGAAATTGGATCCATAAACATGTCATTCTGCAACCTATACTAAATTCCTCATTTCGTCAGATATATAAGCTATATCCAAATCTGAACCGATTCCAACGATTTCCAACGATTTCAGGAAACTTAACACACATCATTCTAGACGCTGTGCCAAATTTCGTGCAAATCGATAGATATTTAGGTACTTTGGTGCACCATTTACATTAAATCGGACGAAAATATATATGGGTGATTTTCAGGAAACTTAACACACATTCTAGAACTAATTTATTATGCTGTGTCAAATTTCGTGCAAACCGAAGGATATTAAGGGACTTTGGTGCACCATTTACATTAAATCGGACGAAAATATATATGGGAGCTATATCTAAATCTGAACCGATGTTCAGGAAACTTAACACACATTATAGACCTAATTCATTATGCTGTGCCAGGGATGCAAAAGTTGGTACAATTGTACTGATTTTAGCACTATTTGGAAGTCAAAAATACAATAGCACCCCAATGACATATTCAGCACTATTTCTAAACTGTATCAAATTATTCTCACTTAAAAGTATTATAAGTGCTTAAACATACAATATGAAATGAATCGCCTTCCCCCGCTGTCGTTACGAATGGATGAATTTGCCATAGATTAAACGTGCCGCCTCAAAATTCCGATCAGATTGATAAATGCAGTAAAAACATTAATTATTATTTCTGCAACAGTTCTATGAGAGAGATGATTTTTCAATGGTTCAGGAATAATTCATATTTTTTTAAATACTCAACAACTCGAAGAAGTCAAGAGGTTATTGAAACAATTTTGGCGCAAGAAGTTGTTGAAACAATTTTGAAGCTGATTTCCAAAAGTTAAGGCTGAATTCTATTATTTCAGAATTTTCAAACCTTTTTATACCCTCCACCATAGTATGCAGGGTATATTAATTTTATTTTTCCGTTTGTAACTCATCGAAATAATCATTTCCGACCCGTCTGTCTGTTGTAATCACTCTAGCATCTAAGCTAATTGAGGTAGATCGCCAAAGTCGCATATAGACCTCTTTTGTCTGCAGGCAGGTCAGCTTCGAAGATGTGCTATATCGGTCCACGTTTAGGCATAGCTACCATATTAGGGTAACCCATCATCGGTATTTTGGGGTTCTTGAGTGCGTTTTTCAACCGAATACGCTGAACATTGATACATTGGGTACCAAAATTATAAATATAGGTTCACTTTTTCTTGTAGCCCCCATATAACGGTAACCCCAATTTTCAGTGTTTTATGGTGTACTTCAGTATATGGGGTAGTCCCCATATAACCCCCTTTTTATACTAAAATAGCTAGCTATTTTTTCCGTGTGTTGGGTTTGTCCCCATATAGGCGTATTCTGCCATAGTATGGGGGATATTCGTTACTCGGAATAATCAGTTTTTACCCTACAAAGTGTGGAATTTTAAGACGATTTAACCATCTATTGTTCATTCCGTCATCTAAAGATATCGCGATAAAAAACTCGAACCTTACGATAATGAAATATATCGGCAGGCGTTTAGGCATCTACTACATGTAATCATACCTCCTGAAGAAAAGAATGGAGATACAAAACTAAAATATTGGGTTCGAAATTCTCAGTATACCTACGGTGCAGAGTATCCAAAGTTCAGCCCGGCCGAACTTAAAGCTTTTTTCACTTGTTACTGTTATTTCTGTTCTTACAATGTGTACTAAAAATTATAAATAATATCAAATTATAAATGCAGTCTGAGGATGCCAGAATGCACGTAGAATTTATTAAGTCTTTTAAAAACGACAATATATGCACTTGTAGGTCAAAGGTGGCTGAAGTGAAAAATGAACTAAACGAAGATATGTTTCCTTATCTATCACAAATTTTAGAGGGTTTTTATATATTCCACATTCATCTACAAATGAGGAAAGAGTATCTTCATATCAAAATATAATTAAACAACGATACATAAGAATATGTTGCAATAAAGTGTTAATTATTGATCTTTTTATTTCGATCTAAAACCGAATAGAATTGTGTTCTTAAAAAATCTTTATATATAAGACTTAAAAGTACGTAGAACAAGTGTTCATCTTATCTATAAGTATATAAAAATGAATTCTTTATTATTATTAATTGTTAATAACAAAAATTTTATTAAAAAATATTTAAAAGTACAATCGGACTGAAAAAAAGTAAACTTTTTATTGAAAGCCAGTACAATTTGAATAATTTCATTTCACATCCCTGTGCTGTGCCAAATTTCGTGCAAATCGAAAAATATATAGGCACTTTGGTGCACCATTTACATTAAATCGGACTAAAATATAAATGGGAGCTATATCTAAATCTGAACCGATTTTCAGGAAACATAACACACATCATTCTGCACTTAATTCAGTACGCTACGCCAAATTTTGTGCAAATCGAAAGATATAAAGAGACTTTGATGCACCATTTACATAAAATCGGACGATACTATATATGGGAGCTATATCTAAATCTGAACCGATTTTTCCCAATTTCAATAGGGTTCGTCCTTGGGTCAAATAATTGACCTATGCCAAATTTCATCCAATTCGAATCATAAATGCGACCTGTACTTTGTTTACAATTTGACAAGGACAGACAGACAGACGGGCGGATGAGAATTTAAATAAAAATTTTCTCGATTCTAAATAATATTAAATAATAATATTAATTAATAAAACATATTTTTTAATTTCAGACGAAACATTTGATATAAAACATGATCGTCCTTTTTTGTTGTCCATGGCCAATCGTGGTAAAAATACCAATGGCTCACAATTTTTTATGTAAGTATCAACATATGTGAAATGTTCATATAATTTGCAGATATTGCGGCCAATTAATCTACAGTTTACTTACAGCAAAGTTTATATTCCAATTTTTGTATTATTTTTGTATATATTTTTTTTTTCAAGAATATTAATCATCACAATAATGTTTGTTGTTTGCTACTATTGTACTATAATATTTAATGATTTGTTAATTAATTTAGCAAAATGATGACCACCACGTCATGAGCTTTAGAGCAGGGTAACTGCAATCAATGCACCCCTCCCCCCTCCACATAATCATAATGTCAGGATTTTTATGGCTGAGGACAACAGGAGGAGTATATCTATCCAGATTGCATGCATCTATGGAGTTTGATTTCTAATCACTGGATATTTTGTTGGCACGTTGAACATGCTTTGTGACGTGTGTTTGCTGCCAAATGGTTCTAGGTGTGAGACTTATTGGAGGATTCTCAAATCCAACTATAATTGAGGGTGTGTGTGTGGCCATACACATACGCAGACATCACTTTTCTTGGTTTCCAAAAATGCTGTTATAACTACACAACATCAACAACAAAAAAGATGATGATCTCCCATCAGAAGAGATGCTTTTGCCCCCATTGGAAACTAGTTATTGCTATAATGTAGAAATTATTTTGCATTCATATCCACCACAAAAAAATTACCAAACAAAAAATGTTAGAAACAATTATAAGTGTTCTACTTCAGCCATTTCAATCGAGACCAAAAAAATAGCCAAAAAACAAACAAACCTACTACCTACTGTTGAACTGTTGTAAAATATGACAAAGTGTAAAGAAACTTTTTCTCTTCTTCTGTTTTTCATTATAGTACTACACAACCTGCACCACATTTGGACAAGTAAGTTTAAAATCGATCCCAATTCAATTTTATTCACTAACCTGTTTTGGTTTACTTCTTTTTAGTGTCCATGTTGTTTTCGGTCAAGTTGTATCGGGACAAGAATTAGTACGTCAAATTGAAGATTTGCCAGTTGATCGTAATTCCAGACCATTGCAAGATGTTATTGTAGCCAATTGTGGCGAATTGATAAAACAGATTAAAAGTATGTTGAGCAACATTGAACGTTGGATATGTTTGTAATTTGTGTCTTGTTTTTTTACAGTTAAAAAAGATAAGAAGAAAAAGAAACGTGCCGCTTCATCGGATGATGACAAATCGGCTGCCAGTGATTCCGATGATGAGAAGCAATCTAAACGTAAGGAGAAAAAGAAAAAGAAGGATAAAAAACGATCCAAATCCGAGGATAAAGATAAGTAAGTTGAAAACGTATTTTAGATCAGTTTTATTTACAAATATTCTCCGATATACAATATGTCGGTTGGTGGACATATTGTAGTCGGTTAGAGGTATATGAGGCGAGTGCTTTCCGAATGTAAGTGTTAAGCAGAAGAAGATTCAGACCTTCCAAAAATTCCGCCCTTAGAACTGCAATAACTGGATGAAATTTGGCATAGGTCACTTATTTGGCCCGAGGACGAACCCTATTGAAATTGGCAAAAATAGCTCCCATATATATTATCGTCCGATTTAACGTAAATGGTCCACCAAAGTCCCTATATATCTTTCGATTTGCTCGAAATTTGGCACAGCGTAATGAATTAGGTATAGAATGATGTGTGTGAAGTTTCCTGCAAATCGGTTTAGATTTGTATATATCTCCCATATAAATTTTCGTCCGATTTAATGTAAATGGTGCACCAAAGTTGTGCGATTTGCACGAAATTTGGCACAAAATGTTTTAATTAATAATTTTATAAAAACCACAAATTGTTGCCAATCATTTGTCAACAATTGACAATTGACTACTGTAAATACACACAAATATGTGCATAGCTTCGAATGTAAATACACTTTTAGCTTGTTTCACATTAAGTGCGTATTCTGACCTTTGACCAAATTCCTCATAATATTTATAATAGTCATCGAAATTAAATTTTATTATTATTGAAACAAGGAAGTTAGACAGTATAGTTGGAGGATACGACCGTGTGATACACTACACAGCTATATTTGGTCTTAAATATTCTGCAAAAAATATCCATCGGTTGAGAAAACTTGGAGAATGCGAAGCGTACATTTTAACGGATATTTTTTTGAGGAATATTGGAAGCGTGGATTTGTTTAAGAATATTTTTCGAGGAATATACTTCGTCAGTCAAAAAAATCGATTTAAAAAATATTTCTTTAGTGGCTATATGAAGGATGGATTAAAAATATATATATATATATATATATATATGTAAGGACCCTCCCCGCCTTTTTTATTCCTTACTAAATATTTTGCTTATAATGACATTAATTTTCTTTTTTTTCTAAAATTTCTGTTACCTTAAAATTTTTTGTTAAAATCTCCACTGATTTTGCCGTTGACAACATTGCAACGAATCTCTGTCATCCATTTTGATAACATTTACATAACCCCTCTTTATCAGTTATTTAAATATTCAAAAATCACAAATTTCATTGCAAACTGAAATATCTCTCTTTGGCTGCTGTTGAAAATTCTATTTGCTTACAAATACACCACTCGACTTAATGTAATTTTCCGTATTCAACATTCTGACCTACCCTAAGTAGTGTATAAATATTTACATAATTTGATTTGATTCCCCAACCCCCTCCATCACACTCAATACTAGGAACTAAATGAAAAAAAAAACAAATTCAATATTTAATAATGAAATGTATTTTCTGTGGTGTCAAATGTTAATAATTTTGTTTGGCTACTACTTTTAATATTTTCTGTTGTTGTTGTATTTATTTTTTTTTTTTGCTTCCAGTTACAATTGGGGTTGGACCAGTACTCGCCATAGTTCTCGATTCCGTTCTGTTCTGTTTATTTATGATTTCTCATTTGAACGCGAATTTCATATTTGATTAAAAAAAAAAATAACGAAATAATGCAAATGTCGATGATGGTCATGGACTGTCATCAGTTCCACATAGCAAAAATACAATTTACAATTTTCTAATGGATTTTTGTTTGAGTTAAATTAATTAAAAATGCAGTGTTTTTTTTCTATTTTATTCTGTTATTGTTCATAAATATGGTAATTTTGTTGGGTATGATTCTTTCGAGTTTTTTATTGGGATGGTGGCTGCGATGCGGTACATAAATAGCAAATTAGATAATAATAAAAAAGATTCAAGAAAAATTCAACATTAAAAAAATTAAGGAAAATTCATACCACTCCTGTAATAGCCCTTTGAAAAAATATTCTTTAAAAAATCCACGCCTCTTATCGTCCTTTGAAAAAAATATTTTTTAAAAAATTCTCGCCTCTTATCGTCCTTTGAAAAAATATTCTTTAAAAAATCCACGCCTCTTATCGTCCTTTGAAAAAATATTCTTTAAAAAATCCACGCCTCTTATCGTCCTTTGAAAAAATATTCTTTAAAAAATCCACGCCTCTTATCGTCCTTTGAAAAAATATTCTTTAAAAAATTCTCGCCTCTTATCGTCCTTTGAAAAAATATTCTTTAAAAAATCCAGGCCTCTTATCGTCCTTTGAAAAAATATTCTTTAAAAAATTCTCGCCTCTTATCGTCCTTTGAAAAAATATTCTTTAAAAATCCACGCCTCTTATCGTCCTTTGAAAAAATATTTTTTAAAAAATCCAGGCCTCTTATCGTCCTTTGGAAAAATATTCTTTAAAAAATCCACGCCTCTTATCGTCCTTTGAAAAAATATTTTTTTAAAAAATCCAGGCCTCTTATCGTCCTTTGAAAAAATATTCTTTAAAAAATCCAGGCCTCTTATCGTCCTTTGAAAAAATATTCTTTAAAAAATCCACGCCTCTTATCGCCCTTTGAAAAAATATTCTTTAAAAAATTCACGCCTCTTATCGTCCTTTGAAAAAATATTCTTTAAAAAATCCACGCCTCTTATCGTCCTTTGAAAAAATATTCTTTAAAAAATCCACGCCTCTTATCGTCCTTTGAAAAAATATTCTTTAAAAAATCCACGCCTCTTATAGTCCTTTGGAAAAATATTCTTAAAAAAATCCACGCCTTTATAGCCGCCTTTGGAAAAATATTCTTTAAAAAATCCACGCCTCTTATAGTCCTTTGGAAAAATATTCTTTAAAAAATCCACGCCTCTTTTCGTCTTTTGAAAAAATATTTTTTAAAAAATCCACGCCTCTTATCGTTCTTATAAAAAAATATATTTTAAAAACTCCACGCCTCTTATCATCCTTTGAAAAAATATTCTTTAAAAAATCCACGCCTCTTATCGTCCTTTGAAAAAATATTTTTTAAAAAATCCACGCCTTTTATCGTCCTTTGAAAAAATATTTTTTAAAAAATCCACGCCTCTTATCCTCCTTTGAAAAAAATATTCTTTAAAAAATCCACGGCTCTTATCGTCCTTTGAAAAAATATTTTTTAAAAAATCCAGGCCTCTTATCGTCCTTTGAAAAAATATTTTTGAAAAATCCACGTCTCTTAAAGTATTCTAAAAAATCGATGACAAAATATTTCTATAAAAATCCACGCTTTCTGAAGTCAATATGCATATTATATACAATTGAATTTTATATTCTGCATCATAATAAATTTACGTTCAGCCACTCGTTTGCAAAGCAATTTTCAAACAACCTTAGTTGGTTGGTTGTTGGGTTTAGGAACTTTTTCGATATGCATGCATAACTGCATCGCTCATTAATGCCATAATATGGGATTTTCAATTTTCCACGTACTTTTAGTTTAGTGAAATAAAATAACAGGCAGAGACACCAGCCAGTCTCAGCCAGATGAGCTCAAGTACCCTGCAGTTGGTTGTAGTGGTGCGAATATTGTTGATGTTTTATTTCAGTTTTTGAAAAAAATTTTTTCTACATTTTTGAATATTTCTATGGAACAAGCTCCTTGAAATATTTGAAAGAAATTTCAGACCAATACTTGAAAAGTAACTTTGATCTACAGAAGGTTCAAATTTCAAATCCGGTCTCAATTTATTCCAACAAGTTCCACAATACCTCCCAATCCATTTTCGAATTTAACCTCGCTATACCCACATTGCAAAGTGGTATCAAAATTTCCCATCAACCAACGACAAACTTTGAACAAATTTTAGCTCTTTTTTGTAGCTGTTGTTGTCGTCGTTGTTGTTTTTGTTCGCTCTTTTTTCAATTATCCTAAAAATATAAAAATAACATTTACACACAAATTTATAAAATATTCATCGACGGATGCGTGTTTGCACATGTATCGACGAGATGGCTACAAATGACTCTCAATAGATATACATATGCATACGCACACACACACACACACATACAAAATGTCAATATGTATGTCAAAGCGATTTTTTGCATGTGTTATTATCATGTATACATATACACACTCATACATATTTAACTATGAGGCGAAAATGCGTTTGGTTTTGGTACCCTCGAATTTGTGCAAAGTATAAACTTTAATGGTGATATAATCATTTCCATTCATGGATACATTTTTAATATGGCCATAAAATTCTGGTTAGACATTTCCTCAATAATTTTTGTTGGAGTTGTTGTTGTTATTTTATTTTAATTTTTTTGTTGTTTTCAATTTTGTACTTGAGTTTTTCTGTTTTTGTTTTAGAGTTTCAGAGTGTGGCACTTGAGCACATATGGGATGATATTAGGGATGTTCTTAATAGAAAATATAAAAAAATATATATTTGCCTCTATGGGCCTGAAAAAATATTTGGTTCTTTAGGTCCTGAACAAATATATTTAAAACCAGTAAGGAAAGTAGTACAGTCGAACGGGGCCGACTATATGATACCCTACACCACTTTTGGTATATTCAACAGATGAATCCTAACAGACCAGTAAAATGAAATAGGATGCATGTCATTATGCAACTTATACTAAATTTTTCATTTGGTCAGATATAGAGTTGCTTCTTGCAACGGTACAAAATTATGTAAATCCATTTAAGGGAACCCCCCCCCATTCTCAATTTTTTATTTTGAAGATTTTAAATGGGCTGGTAAATGAATACCAATGCTTGTTAAGGTTTGTAACTTTGCACATATATATTTGAAGATTTAAAGAGGAAGAAAAATAATTTACAAAAAATTTTTGTTGTTGTCTTGTTGTTGTTTTTGGTGATTAAAGAAAAGTCCTTATTTTTGATGGCGGACATGATAACTCCTCACTGGAACATCGGAATCCGAAAATTCCAACGGTGTTAGAAAGAGTACATGTCTGGCTCTCGTATGAACTAGGATTATTGACTTCGCTCTAAAATTAACAAAATGGCG